ATGTTTGGGGGTAAATGGGAAGATTTAGATGATTTATTATACATGTATCAAACTGTTCATGATTTTATTGATGGTCTGAGGCGATAAAGGGAGGAAACCAGATCAGACTGATTGAAATCATTCAACTGGGTCTTTATTTCCAGCGTTTCTTTTTCTGCTTTGTTTAACTGTTTTCCTGCAGCTTATCATCCTGACTAAACCCTCTGCTCTCTGTTCCCCTTTCAGATCTCTGAGATCTACGTCTGCGGCGAGTCGGCCGACCTCACGGCCAAAGAGAAGCTGCTGCTATGGAGCCAGCAGGCCGTGGAGGGCTACCCCGGCCTCCGCTGCAGCAACTTCAGCTCGGCATGGAGCAACGGACGCATGTTCAACGCTCTGCTGCACAGATACAGGCCAGACCTCATCGACATGGAGGCCGTGGCCCGGCAGAGCAACCGAGAAAACCTGGAGCAGGCCTTCGAGATCGCCGAGTCGTTAGGGGTGACGAGACTCCTGGACGCTGAGGGTGAGTCAGAGGTTCAGCTATGAACCAGAACCTCCATCGATCACATCGCTGTGGTTCTAATGTTTTCCGTCCAAGCAGTCAGACATTTCAAAGTGCTCTGACTTCATTATTCTGTCTGTAGTTCAGGGGTCTGATCATTTTGATTTTGCTGCATAATTCTGAATCATTCAGGCATGAAAAAGGCTCCTACTGTGTGTCTGACCTCAGCGTCTTACTCTGTGCTCTGTTTTAACATAAACACCTTTAAAATCCAGAGAAACAGGCTTCTTTGGTTTAAGTCTAAAAGGAAAATGTTTCATATTTGTTCCTTCAACCTGAAATGATCAGATACTAAATAAGTTCTGATCATCCTACCCCCTAAACAGGCATATATGTAACCCTTAATAGGGTGCTTTTATTTTGAAGGTGACTGCTGTTCCTGTGGGGAAACTCTTTCCATCGCTGATGTTTTCTTTTCCATGTCGCCACTGGCATTAATAAGAAGACTTTATTCAGTGTCTGTCAGCAGCAATAGGTCTCTGGTTTCATTAGAGCTCTGGAGACGTTTGGTTCTGAGGTGACCGTGATCCGACTCGGCAAATCGACGCCTTTGCGTTGCATTCTGGGACATGGTGGAGTAAATAAGCTAAAAGAAGCCTGGTTTCGCTTTATAAACCAAACGTTTCTAATCAACCACTAATGGTCTGGCAGGGGCGGATTTAGGAAATTTGGGGCCCTGGGCAAAGACAGGCAGGGGGCCCTCTTAGTTGAGAAGACAACACAAAAAACAGACCCATTCTACAGATAGAGAAAATGTTAATAGAATAGACATCCATTATCTA